CATTTCCATTTCTGGTATACTAAAGGATATACAAGACCAATAAAAAGTTGTGGGACTAGGTGTCCTGCACTATACAAAGCTTTAATCAAGTGGGTAGTAAGTATATACACAAATTCATCATCTGTTATTTGCAAGGTGTTGTTATTTGTGTTTGTGTTAATAATAAGGTTATCATTGTTTAGATGTATGTTCATCTCACAAAAGAAGAGTTGGCTGCTCAGCGCAAGGAGAGAAGAATGGGAAAATATTCTGAAGCAAGAATTGTTTAAGTGATTATGAGGTGATAAATCTTGTGTGAATACTGATTATTAGGAAATGCGGTAATCATGAGAATTATTTATGATTTCAGGATTATACTATGAATTTAACACGATTTATTTTATTTGTGTTTCTGAAAACAAAAGGTTTCACTTGATTAACCAATCACATCACATATAACATGTATAGTCTTTAGTTGATATACACTACCTGGACAAAAGTCACACAAGATCCTTGTTAATCTATATGCAAATTTTCATTTCTCTAACGTTTCTAAAAAAATAATAATAAAAAAATAAAACTTGGTCCGAATTTTTTTTTTCCAAAAAAATAATCATCAAAAACGATTTTTATTGCTCAAGAACTCACATAATAATCATGTCTAAAATTTTAAAGGAATATACATAAAATCAATATTTGGTTGACCACCATTATTTTTAATAACAGCTTCTATTCTCCTTGGCATACTTTCTATCAGTTTCAATAGGACATCCATTGGAATTTTACTCCATTCTTCCTGTAATGCGACCACTTCGCTGCTTTGTAGCAAGTAGGGATGGGGCGGTTCGTTTCGTTTCGATTTCGCGAAACCGGTTTAAACCGAACCGAACCGGTTCAACCGGTTCGGTGTAACCAGTTTATTACACAAACTTTTTATAGATTATACATGCAGATCATTCTTTGCATATGACATATTTCTATAATAACAAATTTAGATAGAATGAACAATTGTATTATTTTTAATTATGCTTCCTAAATGAGCTTGAAAAAAATAAATCATTTTCAATCAAAAATAATCATTTTAGGTTGTATATATAAATAATAATAGTAATGATATGTTGCTTAAAATGGAAAAAAAACAAAATAAGTTGTTTGGAGAAGAATCAAATTGAATGCAACATAGTAATAGAAGTAGTTATTTTGATTGTGTTGCTTCCACATTTCTCAATTCAAAAAATAAATCATTTTAAATTGTATAATAGTAATATTGTTGCTCATCTTTAATAAGTAGTTTGTTTTGTATTGCACATTAAAATGATAATCAATTTGAAAAAAAAAACCAACAAAATAAGTTGTTTGGAGAAGAGGCGAATTGAATGCGAGCAGTAGTTATTATTAATTGTGTTATTTCCACATGTCTTAATTTGAAAAAAAATCATTTTAAATTGTTTGTATAATAATAATGGTGTGTTGCTTTAAAATGATAATCAATTTGAAAAAAAAAAAAAAATAAGTTGTTCGGAGAAGAGGCGAATTGAATGCGAGCAGTAGTTATTATTAATTGTGTTATTTCCACATGTCTCAATTCGAAAAAAATCATTTTAAATTGTTTGTATAATAATAATGGTGTGTTGTTTTAAAATGATAATCAATTTGAAAAAATAATGGTGTGTTGCTTTTTAAAATGATAATCAATTTGAAAAAAAAAACAAACAAAATAAGTTGTTTGGAGAAGAGGCGAATTGAATGCAACATAGTAATAGCAATAGTTATTTTTAATTGTGTTGCTTCCATTTGTCCCAACTCGAAAAAATAAATCCTTTTAAATTGTTTGTATAATAGTAATAATAATAATGGCAGAATCGTTTGTTGCCAGAAACTGCAAGAGCATGTTTATGTTTAAAAAGCTGGATAATAAAAAAAAAACTAGATTAGGTGTAGAAGTTATACATACATTAATATATATGTATCATTTTAAAATTACTCATCTTCATGTTTTTATTTTTATGTATTTTTTTTTTAAAAATAAAATAAATAAATATTTTGTATTACATTTTCACGTGATATAATAACCTGACAATAAACATAGAGATTTTAGTTTCACAAAAAAACCGATTCAAACCAGTTCAAAAACTGAACCGAACCGAACCTAAACCAAAAACCGGTTCAAAAACCGAGTTCAAACCGGTTTTTTTTTAAACCGCCCCATCCCTAATCATGAGTCATGTAAAATTCTTTCATTTAAATATTATTCTGAAACTTTGTAATCTGTTACACTTTAGAATGTTGGAATATTTATATCTCCAATATTTGGGTTATTTTCTGAGAGCTATTTATTTGATTGGTGCGCCTTATTAATTAGTGTAACATTTATTAAATTGTACTGGTTTATTTCTTGTTGAGTTATTCCGTGATAATCGTTTCCAAATTTTCACTTCGTGATACATGTAAATCATTTCCGATTTGTATGTTCGTTTCCCGTGATTTATAATTTACTATTTTACAGTAGTAATAACTCTAGCAAGAATAGAATAATTTTTTGTGGTTTGTATATTAAATAAAACTCAGAATCTTGAGAAGCTAAAGATATAAAATTTGTACAATTCTATTTATTTTTTATTTGTCTTTAATATGTGGCTTACTTTTTTAACTGGATAAAATCAAAATTAGCCATTGTAGATCATAGATTCATGTTACGTATACTCTACCATTAAATAAAAATAAAAATAAAAGTAAAAATAAAAATAAAAATAAAAATAAAAATAAAAATAGAAATAAAATTTAATTTGACCCAAATTAAAGGATTCGGCCAAATTATCATCATCATCATCTGATCCTGGCAACAGTCAATTGACTATTTTTACTTTGCAGATCGCAAGGTCATGATCAAAAAATTATTTTGTGTTACCATCAAAGAATACTTTGACTGTTTAATAGATAACTCATTGTATTTTTGCTAGCTTAGATTCTCATTGGTTGTGTATGTAAAATTTTAATTATTAAAAAATAAATACTATTCTATTATCTTCATTTTCACTAATAAATTTAAATAGATATCATATTTTTTTACATGAGAAACAAAATTAATGAATAAAACAATCATTAATAAATAAATACCTTTTAATTTATAATAATAAAATAATAACTAATTTAGTTGTTCCGTAACAATTCTTTCTGATCATACTAAAAGTAATTCTGATTAATTAGAGGAATAAAAATTTATGATGTTGAATTTTCTATCTATTTTCTAAAAATAAATAACAAATAAATATGGCTGCATAGCAATTCTTTATGATTGTATACCACCAGATCTAAAAAGAGTAATTAAATAATTAATAGTATATAATTGTTATTACAACCAGAATTTTTTAATGTTGAATTTTCTAAAAATAAATAAATAATAATGTAATAATAAATAAAATATGGTTGTGCAATTCTTTCTGATCATACACCATTATAAATATAGTCACATAACAATTCCTTCTGATTTAACCATTAACCTTTGGAAAAAGAAAATTGTGCATTCTCTCCTAGATGAATTGAGATAAATAATACCTTTTAATATTAATAATGCACTCTCCTATACAAATTGAGACTTTAATATTAATAATTACATTCTCTCCTAGATAAATAAATATATAAACAAATAATTCTTTTATAATATAGTTATACATTTTTTTCCTATAATGTCTATACTTACTTTCATAAATAATATGTTGTAAACTTGGTTCTTTTGATTCTCTTTTTTAAAAATTTTTTGCTGAATCCAATCTGTATAAAATTCTTGACATGTCACATGACTGATAGGGTGTAAGGAAATTAAAATACATACCATATTCTCCCGAATATAAGCAACACTTGAATATAAGCAACAGTAAGAATTTGCAACAAAAAAAACAGAAAAAATTGAAAAATAAATATAAGCAACACCTATATTTTGAAACATTTTTATTTGATTTCTTATTTTTATATAATAAATAAAAAAATAAGAAATGATGCCAGCTGATCTTAAACTATATTGTTTTGCATATTGCAAACTTGGAGCTTTTCAGCAACAGAATATGAAGAACGTTTGACTTTTGGCATTGTGTGGGGAAAAAATGAATTAAAGCTTAACACAAATGATGAAATAAGGAAACATAATGTAACACGAACAAAATCTCTCAAATATAAGCAACACCTACAGTTTTTGTTGACTAAAATGTGTTAAAATGGTGTTGCTTATATTTGGGAAAATATGGTATTTATAGGTTTTTTTTTTACCAGGATAATAACATACACTGTATAAGGAATTAAGATATACATTTTTTACATTAAAACAATAACATACATTGTTTAAGGAATTAAAACTTACATTTTATGGGGTTTTCATAACATACATCATGTAAGAAATTAAAACTTACATTTTATGGTATTTTCCTTACACCAAAATAATAACATACATCATGTAAGTGATTAAAACCTACATTTTATCAGGTTTTCCTTTACCAGAATAATAACATACATCATGTAAGGAATTTGATATATTTCTTAAAATATGGTAATTTTCAAACTTACATTGAGTACATTCATTCAGTATTTAAAATTTTATTCCTTACATGTTGTAAGTAAATTTTTACATATTCTGTACATTATTTTCTATAGGAGAAATTTAGGAATAATTAATTTGTATAAACTATATACATGAAGTTGAAACTATTTCAACCATTTGCAGATCTGGTTGAAATAGGGTTGAAATAAGGTTGAAACTGATTTTTACTATGTAGTTGCCTCAAGTTGAAATATTTTGAATTTGGGGTTTTAATTTCGACTTCATGTATAGTATAAACATACCAAAATTCAGGCTATTTTATGGCTTTCCTCTTAATGTTAGGTGGTATATCTAGAGCTGCCTTTCTAACTCATTTTTTGTGGTTTGTATATTAAATAAAACTCAGAATCTTGAGAAGCTAAAGATATAAAATTTGTACAATTCTATTTATTTTTTATTTGTCTTTAATATGTGGCTTACTTTTTTAACTGGATAAAATCAAAATTAGCCATTGTAGATCATAGATTCATGTTACGTATACTCTACCATTAAATAAAAATAAAAATAAAAGTAAAAATAAAAATAAAAATAAAAATAAAAATAAAAATAGAAATAAAATTTAATTTGACCCAAATTAAAGGATTCGGCCAAATTATCATCATCATCATCTGATCCTGGCAACAGTCAATTGACTATTTTTACTTTGCAGATCGCAAGGTCATGATCAAAAAATTATTTTGTGTTACCATCAAAGAATACTTTGACTGTTTAATAGATAACTCATTGTATTTTTGCTAGCTTAGATTCTCATTGGTTGTGTATGTAAAATTTTAATTATTAAAAAATAAATACTATTCTATTATCTTCATTTTCACTAATAAATTTAAATAGATATCATATTTTTTTACATGAGAAACAAAATTAATGAATAAAACAATCATTAATAAATAAATACCTTTTAATTTATAATAATAAAATAATAACTAATTTAGTTGTTCCGTAACAATTCTTTCTGATCATACTAAAAGTAATTCTGATTAATTAGAGGAATAAAAATTTATGATGTTGAATTTTCTATCTATTTTCTAAAAATAAATAACAAATAAATATGGCTGCATAGCAATTCTTTATGATTGTATACCACCAGATCTAAAAAGAGTAATTAAATAATTAATAGTATATAATTGTTATTACAACCAGAATTTTTTAATGTTGAATTTTCTAAAAATAAATAAATAATAATGTAATAATAAATAAAATATGGTTGTGCAATTCTTTCTGATCATACACCATTATAAATATAGTCACATAACAATTCCTTCTGATTTAACCATTAACCTTTGGAAAAAGAAAATTGTGCATTCTCTCCTAGATAAATAATATTAATAATGCACTCTCCTATACAAATTGAGACTTTAATATTAATAATTACATTCTCTCCTAGATAAATAAATATATAAACAAATAATTCTTTTATAATATAGTTATACATTTTTTTCCTATAATGTCTATACTTACTTTCATAAATAATATGTTGTAAACTTGGTTCTTTTGATTCTCTTTTTTAAAAATTTTTTGCTGAATCCAATCTGTATAAAATTCTTGACATGTCACATGACTGATAGGGTGTAAGGAAATTAAAATACATACCATATTCTCCCGAATATAAGCAACACTTGAATATAAGCAACAGTAAGAATTTGCAACAAAAAAAACAGAAAAAATTGAAAAATAAATATAAGCAACACCTATATTTTGAAACATTTTTATTTGATTTCTTATTTTTATATAATAAATAAAAAAATAAGAAATGATGCCAGCTGATCTTAAACTATATTGTTTTGCATATTGCAAACTTGGAGCTTTTCAGCAACAGAATATGAAGAACGTTTGACTTTTGGCATTGTGTGGGGAAAAAATGAATTAAAGCTTAACACAAATGATGAAATAAGGAAACATAATGTAACACGAACAAAATCTCTCAAATATAAGCAACACCTACAGTTTTTGTTGACTAAAATGTGTTAAAATGGTGTTGCTTATATTTGGGAAAATATGGTATTTATAGGTTTTTTTTTTACCAGGATAATAACATACACTGTATAAGGAATTAAGATATACATTTTTTACATTAAAACAATAACATACATTGTTTAAGGAATTAAAACTTACATTTTATGGGGTTTTCATAACATACATCATGTAAGAAATTAAAACTTACATTTTATGGTATTTTCCTTACACCAAAATAATAACATACATCATGTAAGTGATTAAAACCTACATTTTATCAGGTTTTCCTTTACCAGAATAATAACATACATCATGTAAGGAATTTGATATATTTCTTAAAATATGGTAATTTTCAAACTTACATTGAGTACATTCATTCAGTATTTAAAATTTTATTCCTTACATGTTGTAAGTAAATTTTTACATATTCTGTACATTATTTTCTATAGGAGAAATTTAGGAATAATTAATTTGTATAAACTATATACATGAAGTTGAAACTATTTCAACCATTTGCAGATCTGGTTGAAATAGGGTTGAAATAAGGTTGAAACTGATTTTTACTATGTAGTTGCCTCAAGTTGAAATATTTTGAATTTGGGGTTTTAATTTCGACTTCATGTATAGTATAAACATACCAAAATTCAGGCTATTTTATGGCTTTCCTCTTAATGTTAGGTGGTATATCTAGAGCTGCCTTTCTAACTCATGCCATTTTCTAAACTATTTTGAAACTAACTTAGAAGGGGTTTTAATAGTGTCTAAACTATACATGAAGTCGAAACTATTTTGACCATTTGCAGATCTGGTCAAAATAGGGTCAAAATAAGGTCGAAACTGATTTTTACTATGTAGTTGCCTCAAGTTTAAACATTTCAACTTTGGGGTTTTAATTTCGACTTTGTGTATAGTATAAACCAGTTCCAAAGAGTTTTGAAAATTTTCTAAAATTAATTTTAAGAGCAACTCTAGGTGTATCTACTCACAAGCAAAAGTTTTACCTAGGGCAGTGGGCTAATCTACTCAAAATTATAAATTGGTTGGTATCAAAGAAATAGAGAATTTAGAAAAATTATTAATTTATTTAGAACAAACACTATTTTATAACTTTCTTCTTAACATCAGAGCACAGATACAATTTCAGAGTTCCAACTCTTTTCTGAATTGCAAACTCCTCCCTGAGCTTGATTGAAACAAGTTACAGGTTCTCATTGCTTTGATGGTTCTAGATGTTTGCACACACCTAACATTACAACTCCTTGATCAGGTTGCAAGCAACCTCCAGAGTGATCATAGAGCCATCTATCTTTATCCTAGAAATAGGATCATTGCAAAAACTCTTCAACAAGCATGTCTGTTACTTCTTTGGTTAGGTGCTGTGAGGGAAGGTTAGTGAAAATGTCTTTGGCAATTGATGCAAATTTGATAAACTCCAGAGCCACTATTATATAATTGAAGAACCAACCAGGTCAAAATAGCCTTGTGTACACAAGGAATATGTGAGAATGACTGAGGTAGTGTATATGACTTGACACCTGTAAATTTTCCAACAATAAATGTTACATTTTGAAATATTTCTCTTCCCCATCTTTAATAGTCATGCTGCTTGTTGTTTTCTTATTGATTTAATATTAAATATTATTGATGTTGATTATGAAAAACAAAATAATATCAAGCTTTTATTTATTTATCAAAAGTCATGTAATAAATACCTAAAGAGTCACTACAGGTTCTGCTCCACATTTTGATTTCAACAAGATATTCTATATAAATAACAAAAGACACAAATCAATTCATTTATAAAACAATTAGAAGTAAATACAATGCAATAAAAAATAATATACTTCTAGTGATTAATAAACAACACTCCTTCTTTAGGAGAACCATACCATACTAAGCCGTCCACATTTCCTTGACTTGTAAAAAATAAATTGTTTTTTCAAAAAAAAAAAAAAAAAATCAGCAAAAAACAATAGGGGTTCCTTGTACAAAACAATATCCGTGTAACAATTACAAATAAAGAAAATAACTAATATATACTCAGATAGATGAGATTATCTGTATTTTCTTATCATTATAAATATGATATTATTTTAAAAGAATAAAGAAAAGAATGACTTATATTTTTATCACCATTAAAGTATTTGTTCATAGAAAAGTGTTTAATTTATTTTTAAAGTAATTCTTCACAAATTTTTTACAATCTGCATATAAATGTTTGTTAATCAAATAACAAAATTTATTATTTCTTTTTTTAAAATAGAAATGCCGCCTAACAAAGAAGAAACAAAAAAAAGACAAAGCTGCCAATATATCTGTATAAATGTTGATTAAAAGAATGATGGTGGTGGTTACAATAATTGTCACTTGTCATCATTCTAGTTTAATAAATCAAAGAAACAATTGATTGTGAGCTTCTGAAAGGAGATAAAATTTTCCAAATGCTTAAAAAACTTGAATATGTAGAAGATTTGAAGAGATTAGCATTTTGGTACAAGAATGGAAAAGAGATGAAAATATTTTGAGTGATGATGGAGAGATCATCACAGAAATTTTTATCAGTGTTGTCACTGATAGGGTTTGTATTCATGAATAAAAACCCTAGTCACTGAAAATATGCAAGGATAATTTTTTTAATAGATTAACATTGATATTACTGGGGTGTTGTAGAATTTAACAATAAATGAATGTTAGAATTACATACTAATGCTAGTAAAAACACACTTTTAGAATATATTAATCTAATTTTAAGTTATCTGTCTTTATAATCCTTCTATTGTGAATTAGTTTCATATTATTATTTTTATATTAAAGTAGTTGTATATATCAGAATGGGATATTATAAAAGCATTAAATCATAATAATAATCAATTACTAAATTTTGATGATAAATGTTCATTAATTTTTACAATACATTATCTAATTAAAATAAAATTATTTTTTTATTTCTCTATAATAACCAGCAAGTATTATATTATAAATCAACTTTTACAACACAAAATGATTTTTATTAAAACATCATCTAATTAAATAAATTTATTTTTATTTCTTTATAATAACCAGTATGACTAGTAGTAAAGGGGATAATGTCAAGGAGGAAATTGCAGAGATTCCAGTTCAAGTTTACATAATGTATAGTTATTCCTAGATAGGTCTCCCAATTTATATAAGCTACATGTCAGTTTTCAATAAACTTTTCCCTCAAGATTGTTGATAATTTTTATTCTTCTGATATTGAATCCATTAATTATAATAAAAAGGTCTTTTATCTGATGTCTCTCAGGAACAGTATAACAAGTGTAACAATTTACTTTGTAATCATATACAACGTTTTGTGTAGCACATCAATATTTACATCTGGAAACATGACACATAATTAATCATTATTTGTAACATCAATTATTTCGTGTCTTTAATTACTATTTATTATTTATCTATGTCCACAAATCTTCCAGATAGATTGATAAGAGCTATTATGATTATTTTATTTACATTTTATCAATCTTTTATTATTATTTATATTTTATTTATATTATATCAATCTATGTAATTTTATTATATAAAGGACATCATTCTTAAGATAATAAAGATAACTTGTATTTTTACAATAATTAAAGTACCTGTTTGACGAACATGTTATAATATTGTTTTTATTCTCATTAAGAAAAGTAATTCTTACAACTTGGTAGCAGCGGACGTTAAATACATACACATGCACATATATATTTTTTTTTTACACACACACATACTAACACATTTAATACAACACACATATAACCTAGTAAAAATTTTTTTTTTTTGGCATTAGAAATAAAAATGACTGACATAAATAACTTGATAGCTGCTTTAGCACAATTAACTCAGGCTATGGGTCAACAACAACAACAACAACAACAGAATCCTCCTACAGCCACTCCGAAAATTTCTGTACAAATTCCTCCCTTTAAAGGAGAATCAAAAGAGAATGTCGTGGCATGGTTGCTACAAGCACAAAATGTTTTAAGAACTCAAGGAATCACAGACGAAGCCACTCAAGTCAATTACGCTACAACTGGACTCAAAGATGCAGCCTTGCACTGGTATTTAAACAAAGTAGTAGGAAATAATAATATCCTGCCATATACTACCTGGGCAACTTTTGCAACTGCTGTAAGAACTGCATTCCAACCTCCCAACTTTCAACAATACCTCCGACAACAACTTAAAAGACTCCGACAAACCAGTACTGTGCAAGAATATACGTCCCAATTTCAAAATATAATTGGCCAGATCAAGGACATGAGAGAATTGGACCAGGTAACCTATTACATAGAAGGACTAAAGCCAGCAACGAAAATGGAAGTGGCATATCAAGCTCCTGATACATTAGAAAGAGCTATAGCACGTGCTATCCAATATGATACTGCAATGTTTGGGATGGGAAGACCCTTTGCAAACAATCAACATACAAAACCCTCCCGTTCAGGACGAACCCAAAGAAATTACAATTACACTCACTATAACAGTAGCAGCAGTAATAATTATAATAACAATAACAGTAGTAATGATAATAGTAATGGTAAGTATGTACCAATGGAATTGGACCAAGTAGAAACTCCTCGATGAAATTTTTATAATAATAACAACAATAATAGAGGAAATGACAAGAAACAATTTAAAGGAAATTGCTATAAATGTGGCCTAGCAGGACATTATGCAAGGGACTGTAGAAGAAAAGCCAAACTTACTAACATTGAAGATGAACAACAACAGCAGCAACAACCACCTCTTGTTAACAATAGTCTAGAACTAACACAAGTGGAAGGAAATCAAGAAAGGTTGCTTCAGTTTAAGGGTATAATTAATGGGCATCATGCTTGGATCCTCCTTGACAGTGGAGTGTCACAAAATTTTATTGATGAGGGATTTGTAAATAAAAATCAATTAAAAACAAGGGATGTGTTACCTACTTCTGTTGAGTTAGCAGATGGAACTAAGACCGAAACTAACAAGATTATTGACATCAATAAGCTTGAATTAGGTTCCTATCATACTACACAGTGAATTCCAATTTAGCGGATTCCGATTTAACAGATTTAAGGGTTTACTGGATAAATTTCAAATCCCAATTCATCTATAATTATTTTATCCCGATTTAACAGATTTAATGGATTTTATATATAAATTCGATTTAATGGATTTTTTTTTAAATCTATATGTCCGTTCATAATAAAAATGTCTTGATATAACGGATGACGATCATTTTTATTTTGAACTAGTAAAATTTTATAAAACAATAAAAACTTATGTATGACATAGACTTAATAGCCCAGAAGGTGAGAATTAACTAATTTCTTTAATTTCTTGACCGCACTGGTGAAAAATTTTTCGCACTCCCTAATTTTGCTTTTCAGCTTATTTTTTTCCTCCCAGTTGGAAAATTTTCTGATGTTATATGTATGATGTCAGATTTGTAATAAATGGAAAATATTCACAACCAACCAGATCAAGAAAAAATCAAATCAACTAGATTAAATATTTCATAATAATTGAATGTAATAAATAATAACATTGAAAAGTTCTGATGTAATATGTATATGTAATGTTTGATATTTTAAAAATCGAAAATGTCTTCACAACCAAAGTATTGTAATAAAACATGACATTAAGAAATTTTTTCTGATGTAATATGGGCTTATGTATTGCGTCAGAAAAAAAAAATTTCATGATAGATTTGTAATAAAAATGATTTGTAATGATTGAAAATAAATTACTTATATAAAGAGATAGTAGTCCAATTTCTTGTAAATCGAAAAAATGTCTTCACAACCATTAGAAGAAAATCCAAATCAAACACTTAAGTAATTAATTATGTTAATTAAATATTTCATTAGAAAAATTTATTAAAAATTAACCAATTTTTTAAAATCATATAGAAAAGAAAAATATTGACTAAAACACAAAAAAAAGAATTATGTGAAAAAAAAGGGATAATCCGAATATTAAAGGTGTTGAATTGGCCCAAGAATATGGAATATCTGTGCAATCCGTTTCTGATATACTGAAACAATCTTCTCAATGGCTAGATTATGATGCAAGTTCAAGCCATAATCTATATAGAAATAAAAAATCAGATTACCCTGATATTGAAGAAGCAACAAGAATCTGGGTTGACCAAAATTTGGCTAGAAATTTAACATTAAGTGGTTCTATTATCCAAGAGAAAGCAAAAGAATTTGCTAGTCTTTTTGAAATTGACAATTTCAATGCTTCTTTAGGGTGGTTGAGAAATTTTAAAAATAGGAATAATTTACGTAGCTACAAAAAGAGAGGTGAATCATTAAGTGCACCCATTGATGAAATCACCAATATGCAAAACCAACTTCAAGAAGTCCTAAGAGAATATAACCCAGAAGATATATGGAATTGTGACGAACTGCTTTATACTGGAGATTAGAACCAAATAGAACAATTTCCCATGCACCAACTTTAGGAAAAAAATGTCCCAAAGATCATATAACTGCTATGGTTACTTGCAGTTTGACTGGAGAAAAGCTTCCCATCCTTTTTATACATAAATATGAAAATCCAAGAAATTTGAGAGGGATTGCCAAAAATACACTTCCAGTATGGTATTATTGGAACACTAAAGCATGGATGCAAAGAAGTATTTTTAAACATTATTTAGAAAGATTTAATAGCAGGATGGTTAGAGAACATAGAAACATAATCTTGCTTTTGGATAATGCAAGTTCTCACAATGCTGAAAATATACCCACTTTATCAAATATCAAAGTCCATTTTTCCCCCCTAATACTACATCTATTCTACAACCTTTAGATCAAGGAATAATCTATAGTTTAAAGGTACCTAATAAATTTTTATTAATTTTCTATTTTAGCATAAATTAATTTTCAAATTCTTTATAGTCAAAATATAGAAAGATCCTTTGTCAAAATAGAATTAGAGCTTACCAAGAAGCAGATGATAGTGGTCAAAATGTACCTACATCAGGAAATTAATTTAGCATAAACTTGCATAAATCTTACGATGCCGACGTAATATTGTGTAAATCTTACAGTGCCGACGTAAGTTTTACACTTTTTTATTATTAAACTTACAATTGACACATGTAAAATTTTTTTATATTTTCCAGATGTAAGTTTTACACTTTTTTATTATTAAACTTACAATTGACACGTGTAAATTTTTTTATATTTTCCGGATGTAAAGTAAATATTTTTGATGCAATTAATTTTATATCTAATGCTTGGGATCAAGTAACAACTGAAACAATTATAATTAGCTGGAAAAAACAAAAATCATTAATAACCTAAGTTCAATCAATTTAACAAATGAAGATTCAAACCGACAATCAGAAGTAAATGAAATAAATGATTTAATTAGTGAACTTCCCTTTATGCTGCTTGTTGTTTTCTTATTGATTTAATATTAAATATTATTGATGTTGATTATGAAAAACAAAATAATATCAAGCTTTTATTTATTTATCAAAAGTCATGTAATAAATACCTAAAGAGTCACTACAGGTTCTGCTCCACATTTTGATTTCAACAAGATATTCTATATAAATTCATTTATAAAACAATTAGAAGTAAATACAATGCAATAAAAAATAATATACTTCTAGTGATTAATAAACAACACTCCTTCTTTAGGAGAACCATACCATACTAAGCCGTCCACATTTCCTT